CTGTGGGCGGAGACAAGGCGTGGTCAGTCAGTGGTGGGCGTGGTGGGGGAGGTGTGGGATGCTCTTTAAGTCTCTTAGCGGGGCGGGGGAAGCTGGAGACGAGCGGTGGGCGTGGATCTGTTCTCTCGTGGGCGTGTGAGGGGGCGGCTGTGATGTTGGTGGTGGGCGTGGTGGGGAAGTGGCTGTGGGCGCTGGTGCCTTGTGATGTTTTTTTTTCACTTTTGGTTGCGAGTCGGAAACAAGTAACATGAAACAACTTCTAAAAAATAACAATAAAAGGCCGAAGAGACCTTTGCTACCATCATGCTAACAAGAACATCATAATAGAATTCTCAATTTCCCTCAAGAGCGACAATACACATTGTAAGACATCAAAGGAAACCGTTGGATGTTACACAGACAGACATATAAGGGAAGTGTTCTTTGGAGATAACAGCATTACATAAGGGCGGTAGATACATAACGAACAAGAGTCAAAATACAGAGCTTCATAAAAGGGCATACACAGCGAGAGCAGCAATACAATAGTCACCAAAAATGGATTACACTGTATGTAGTAATTTTGTGCATTTACATTATAATACGTAATAGCATGATATAGGGTAATCACTGGCCAATTCGGTGTAACTCATTTTTATTGATTTCGTCATCTTTTCTACAACATAAAGGAAAAATGAATTCATGGGGTGGCTTGCGATCGGTGAGACTTCGGTAGCGAAGAGGAGTCTATGAGCGCGCCAGCAGGAGTGAGGAAGGCTATGACGGCCGTGCCCGCCGTGTGAGGGATCTCGCGAAGCATCGGGGACTCGAAGAAGGTCAGCAACGCCTCCCCGGCCGCATGGGGTACCTCCCGCAACAGAGGGGACCTGAAGAAGGACACCATAGCCTCGCCGGCCGCTTGAGGAACCTCCTGAAGGACGGGAGACCTCAGGAAGGACACGATAGCTTTTCCCGCCGCCTGAGGGACCTCTCGGAGCACGGGGGACCTGAGGGTGGAGAGGACGGCCTCGCCAGCTGCTTGAGGGATTTTTCGAATCATCGGCGACCTGAAGAAGGATACCATCGCCTCCCCCGCGACCTGGGGCACTTTCTGGATCATGGGAGACCTCATGACACTGACCATCGCCTCGCCAGCGACCTGAGGCACTTTCCGGACCGCCGGGGAATTGAGGAGGGATATCACGGCGTCGTTTGCGGATTCTAGCATCGAGGACGGAGCTGTGACTTGTGCGAGATTCGGCTGGTCTCTCCTGATTCTCCTCAACAGGACTAAGGACTCGCGAGGGATGCTGGAAATCGAAGGCGTAGTATCGTCACCGCCTCTTACGGTAGATAACTGGCCTAATACTGGAGACAAAACTGAGATAAGCTTGCTTTCTTGTGCTTGCAGTCGTCCACCTTGAGATTGGACCACGTCTTGGATCCTCCTCCTCAGGACAGCAGACAGCGACTCATAATACGCGTTGTCTACTGACGTAACACCACCATCTTCGCTTTTCACTTTCGCGATTGAAACGGCGAAGAACATAACGATAAGTGGCAGTAGATTATTCATGGCTCCGATCTCAAGACAAATTGATGTCAAACGTTTGCTTGAGAACGTTTTTATTCCCTTGTCGATCACCAACGTTCCTCACAAGAGACGAGGGAAAGATATACGCATTACTTTTTTTCGCGTAGTCGGGACCTGACGAGTTATTTCTGAATGTGCGATTTCAGCTGAAGATTTTGTTTTGTTTAATGTCATTATAGTTATTGCTACCACAAACTTGTGATCTATATTTACATTAGACCATAATTCAATATAATTTAATTCCTTGGATGTATATAAGATATTTGGAACGTATACCCACATATTTGAAATTACAATTAAAACAAATTATTAACAACTTTTATATTCCAAGCACACTGAATGGAATTTAAAAAGTTCATATCCGGAAGTTTTACCTCAGTTATTAACCCCGCCCTCGCCTCTCTGCATGGGATAATTACCTTATTAAACAAAGGTTCAAGCTTTAGAAATACCACGAAATATATAGGAATCTGTATCTGTATGCAAACCAAAATATATACATATAGGTATACACGCATACATTCATATATAGATTCATATATTTACACACACATACACAGTATATGTATGTGTATGTGTATGTGTATGTGTATGTGTATGTGTATGTGTATATGTATATGTATATGTATATGTATATGTATATGTATGTGTATGTGTATGTGTATGTGTATGTGTATATGTATATGTATATTTATATGTACAGATGCACACATACATACATACATAAAGGCACAGATGCACACATACATACATAAAGGCACAGATGCACACATACATACATACATAAAGGCACAGATGCACACATACATACATACATAAAGGCACAGATGCACACATACATACATACATAAAGGCACAGATGCACACATACATACATAAAGGCACAGATGCACACATACATACATAAAGGCACAGATGCACACATACATACATACATAAAGGCACAGATGCACACATACATACATACATAAAGGCACAGATGCACACATACATACATAAAGGCACAGATGCACACATACATACATACATAAAGGCACAGATGCACACATACATACATAAAGGCACAGATGCACACATACATACATACATAAAGGCACAGATGCACACATACATACATACATAAAGGCACAGATGCACACATACATACATACATAAAGGCACAGATGCACACATACATACATACATAAAGGCACAGATGCACACATACATACATACATAAAGGCACAGATGCACACATACATACATACATAAAGGCACAGATGCACACATACATACATAAAGGCACAGATGCACACATACATACATACATAAAGGCACAGATGCACACATACATACATACATAAAGGCACAGATGCACACATACATACATACATAAAGGCACAGATGCACACATACATACATACATAAAGGCACAGATGCACACATACATACATACATAAAGGCACAGATGCACACATACATACATACATAAAGGCACAGATGCACACATACATACATACATAAAGGCACAGATGCACACATACATACATACATAAAGGCACAGATGCACACATACATACATACATAAAGGCACAGATGCACACATACATACATACATAAAGGCACAGATGCACACATACATACATACATAAAGGCACAGATGCACACATACATACATACATAAAGGCACAGATGCACACATACATACATACATAAAGGCACAGATGCACACATACATACATACATAAAGGCACAGATGCACACATACATACATACATAAAGGCACAGATGCACACATACATACATAAAGGCACAGATGCACACATACATACATACATAAAGGCACAGATGCACACATACATACATACATAAAGGCACAGATGCACACATACATACATACATAAAGGCACAGATGCACACATACATACATACATAAAGGCACAGATGCACACATACATACATACATAAAGGCACAGATGCACACATACATACATACATAAAGGCACAGATGCACACATACATACATAAAGGCACAGATGCACACATACATACATACATAAAGGCACAGATGCACACATACATACATACATAAAGGCACAGATGCACACATACATACATACATAAAGGCACAGATGCACACATACATACATACATAAAGGCACAGATGCACACATACATACATACATAAAGGCACAGATGCACACATACATACATACATAAAGGCACAGATGCACACATACATACATACATAAAGGCACAGATGCACACATACATACATACATAAAGGCACAGATGCACACATACATACATACATAAAGGCACAGATGCACACATACATACATACATAAAGGCACAGATGCACACATACATACATACATAAAGGCACAGATGCACACATACATACATACATAAAGGCACAGATGCACACATACATACATACATAAAGGCACAGATGCACACATACATACATACATAAAGGCACAGATGCACACATACATACATACATAAAGGCACAGATGCACACATACATACATACATAAAGGCACAGATGCACACATACATACATACATAAAGGCACAGATGCACACATACATACATACATAAAGGCACAGATGCACACATACATACATAAAGGCACAGATGCACACATACATACATAAAGGCACAGATGCACACATACATACATAAAGGCACAGATGCACACATACATACATACATAAAGGCACAGATGCACACATACATACATACATAAAGGCACAGATGCACACATACATACATACATAAAGGCACAGATGCACACATACATACATAAAGGCACAGATGCACACATACATACATACATAAAGGCACAGATGCACACATACATACATACATAAAGGCACAGATGCACACATACATACATAAAGGCACAGATGCACACATACATACATAAAGGCACAGATGCACACATACATACATAAAGGCACAGATGCACACATACATACATAAAGGCACAGATGCACACATACATACATAAAGGCACAGATGCACACATACATACATAAAGGCACAGATGCACACATACATACATACATAAAGGCACAGATGCACACATACATACATACATAAAGGCACAGATGCACACATACATACATACATAAAGGCACAGATGCACACATACATACATACATAAAGGCACAGATGCACACATACATACATACATAAAGGCACAGATGCACACATACATACATACATAAAGGCACAGATGCACACATACATACATACATAAAGGCACAGATGCACACATACATACATACATAAAGGCACAGATGCACACATACATACATACATAAAGGCACAGATGCACACATACATACATAAAGGCACAGATGCACACATACATACATACATAAAGGCACAGATGCACACATACATACATACATAAAGGCACAGATGCACACATACATAC